TTTGGTTTTATTTTGAATGAGAAGATTTACCCGGCCTTGCTCGGCTCCTTAACTTTTGTTTTTCTCCATTTAAATCATTGCTCTGGGCTGGGGAGGAGGGATTCAGCACGCGGGCTGCCCTGGAGAAAGAGGGCTACCCCAGCCCTCTCACTGCAGCAACTTGGGGCAGGTGAGAAGTGCCTCTTTATGGCCGCTGCTGCTCCAGGGGGCACATGTGGAGGAGGAGGCAGCATGTCCTCCAGCAGGGGCAAGTCCAGATTCATCTGCCCCCTGCGCTCCCCAGCCAGAGGGAGGAATGCAGGAAACCGCGCACTTTCCCCTCCCTCTCAATGTTCCCATGTGAATCGGGCAAGAGAAGCTTTAGCCCACCATCTCCTTCGGGGGTGGGAGGGGGAGGATCAGGGCTGGAGCAGTCCTGGAGGGGGGCACAATTCCAGCCAGCCCCTTTCAGCTGCCTGGTGATTGTCTCTTTTCTGAGAAGCCAGCCCATTCCAGGCCCTCCCAGTGTCCTAAATTAGGATAAGAGGAAGCTGTGTACCACATTGGTGGCTCTTACCCTTTAGGAGGAGTTCTTAAACAGAGAGAGACAGACACAAACTCTCTCAAATATCTAGTAGGTTGGGATTTTGAATGAACTCACCGACATTCATAAGAAAGGCGCTAAGAGCATTGCACAAATGTTATGGTCAGAAGGACCCCGACGATCAGTTTGTCCGCATACCACCAGCCAAATAGAATCATAGAATAATAGGACTGGAAGGGACCTCAAGAGGTCATCGAGTCCAGCCCCCCGCCCTCAAGGCAGGACCAAGCTCCATCTACACCATCCCTGACAGATGTCTATCTAACCTGTTCTTAAATATCTCCAGAGAGGGAGATTCCACCACCTCCCTTGGCAACTTATTCCAATATTTGACCACCCTGACAGTTAGGAATTTTTTCCTAATGTCCAATCTAAACCTCCCCTGCTGCACTTTAAGCCCATTACTCCTTGTCCTGTCCTTAGAAACCAAGACGAACAAGTTTTCTCCTTCCTCCTTGTGACCCCCTTTTAGATATTTGAAAACCGCTATCGTGTCCCCCCTTAATCTTCTTTTTTCCAAACTAAAGAAGCCCAGTTCATGAAGCCTGGCTTCATAGGTCATGTTCTCTAGACCTTTAATCATTCTTGTCGCTCTTCTCTGTACCCTTTCCAATTTCTCCACATCTTTCTTGAAATGTGGCGCCCAGAACTGGACATACTACTCCAGCTGAGGCCTAACTAGTGCAGAGTAGAGCGGCAAAATGACTTCACGAGTTTTGCTTTCAACACACCTGTTGATACAACCTAGAATCATATTTGCTTTTTTTGCAACAGCATCACACTGTTGACTCATATTCAACTTGTGGTCCACTATGCCCCCTAGATCCCTTTCCGCCATGCTCCTTCCTAGACAGTCGCTTCCCATCTTGTATGTATGGAACTGATTGTTCCTTCCTAAGGGGAGCACTTTGCATTTCTCTTTATTAAACCTCATCCTGTTTACCTCTGACCATTTCTCTAACTTGCTAAGGTCATTTTGAATTATGTCCCTATCCTCCAAAGAAGTTGCAACCCCACCCAGTTTGGTATCATCTGCAAACTTAATAAGCGTACTCTCTATCCCAATATCTACATCTTCTAGAGCACTGACGCCAAGGGGCACTGACCCGTGACCGGGGCTCTCAGGCGCTATTGAGATCCCATGGGGATAGCTTAGCCATCTACCTCTTATCCCATTATTCTCTGTGGCCTTGCAAGCTAAGAAGTCAACTGTTTCATCAAGACTATGCCCCACCAGTAAGGGCTAAGCACCTCCAAGCTGGATTGTGATTAGTGTCTCTTTACAATGGGTTCTGCTAGTGAACACGGGAACAACTCCCAGAGGAGAAAAGCCACGTCAGGAATGCAGCCTCTAGGGCCTTGCATCCCACCAGTTCTGAAGCAGTACTACGGCTGTAAACGAACTAGCCACACTCAGCCAGCCAAATAGCAGCATGTGGCTAGTGTGTTGGGTATCTCAGCTCTAGAGTCTTACTCCCTGTGACAGCGTGGCCCTCTCAGCAACCTCTAAGTCTTAACTCCTTTAGTAGGTTGTTTAAAAAGAAGTGCTTCCGGGAAACACCAACATCTGAGCTTCATTTTGTATCTGGGAGATTCAGCAAGGACACCCACTGTGCATGTCAGGGAAAAAAATCATTTTTCTGACAAAAATCTGTCGTGTAGACCTCTCCAAATCTATTTGTGTAGGGGCAAGCCCCCAAACTCTCAGCCCTGTTTGAGCAGATGGGGTCCATTTGTTCACCTGCTTCGGGTTGTTTATCCCATAGGTCCGCACTACTCTGAACAGCAACCCGGAGGGAAAAAGGACAGGGATGAACCAGCCATAGGGAGGGGTAGTGCCAGAGGCAGCCAGGGTCTCTGGATGTTCGGAGAACTTGCTACAGATTGGACCAGACTTTCTCTTCCCTGCTTTATTGTTTGCACCAATCCTCCCGCTCTTTTTACCCCTGCCCCTCCGCGCCCCTTCCCCCTCACTCTCTTCCCTTTTCTTTCCATTTAGCCAATTGCCTCCTAACTAAATGCCGCCCTCCCACCCCCCAGCCACGTGGATCGAGCCGGACATTTGTTAGGACCATTGTTCACACTGCTCATGGGCCCTTCCCCACCCCCGAGTCGCTGCTTGGGTTGAGCTGGAGATGCTCACATGGACTGAGCATGCTCAGGAATGCTGCAGAAGCCAGCAACGTGGAAAGGGGCTGTGGCCGCTGTAGAAACCATTTCATATTTAGCTAGAACCATCTTGTATAACAGAAACCAGTTCAGCTTTTCTCTTTAGCACATAAAGTTCACTCTGGTCTCTGTCACCCCATGAGAAGAGGCCTACAGGACAGGCTATTGGAATGTGTTAATTGGGCTGGTTGGGACAGGAGATGTACTCCCGCCTACCTGTCTGCCATCTTGCTGATAAAGCTCTGTTTTTCCAAGTTTAATTGAGGATTTCTGTAATTGGATGCCCTGACGTCGGATTGTTTGGCTAAGGGTATAAAGATACTAGGATTGATTGTATTAGCAGCCTTACTGGGCCTGGCTTTGCTGGGACCATGTTTGGCTCATGCTGTGCTTTATTAATGAATAAAGCTGTTTGTTAGCTGCCTAAACAGAAAGAAGCATTTTTTTTGCTTCAACAACGCAAACCTGAGTCCTCAGTGCACAGTGTAGCCAGACCCACAGACTATGCCTACACTGGTGTGATTTCCCGCAAATGCTTTTAACGGAAAACTTTCCCGTTAAAAGTATTTGCGGAAAAGAGCGTCTAGATTGGCAAGGATGCTTTTCCACAAAAAGTGCTTTTGTGGAAAAGCATCCATGCCAATCTAGATGCGCTTTTGTGCAAAAAAGCCCCGATCGCCATTTTCATGATCGGGGATTTTTTGCACAAAATAAATCTAAGCGGTCTACATTGGCCCTTTTGCCCAAATGGGAGCAGCATAGTATTTCCACAAGAAGCACTGATTTCTTACATGAGATAGTCAGTGTTCTTGCGGAAATTCAAGCGGCCAGTGTAGACAGCTGGCAAGTTTTTCCACAAAAGCAGCTGCTTTTGCGGAAAAACTTGCCTGTCTAGACACAGCCACAGGGTATAAGCTCGGCCTGTGCTCTGTGAACCAAATTCAGCTCTATTACATGGCTGGGATGGCAATGACTCAGAGGGGACTGAACTGGGCACCACCAGAGCTAAAAGCAGGTCGCTACACTCAGGTTAACTAGCCACGGCTCTCTACTGGGGCGGATCCTCTATAGACTAGCACAGCACGGGACCTGTAACACGTTGGCAGCACTGGCTTACACAACACAAGTGGGTCTAGTTCCCCATTGGTTGCACAATTTAAGCCTGTAGCTGATCCATTTCAGATCGCCCTCCTACCTTACCATCCATCACAAGGATCCTGTCATTCCATACAACTGTCTCCATCTGTGTTTTCTTCTCCACCTGCCAGAGTCTGGTATGGGACATGTAATAAAAACCCTTCATGTTTAACAGCACTGCAATATCCAGGGGATTGCCCACCTTCCTGAAACAGTTCCAGGGAATCCCAACCCAGAATTCTCACCCAGACCTGGAACTCACACACACGGAGTTTGTCCAGATTTGCTCTTGAAGAGTGTAGCTCTTTTGCAGCCAGGCATAGAATCATAGAACACTTGAACTGGAAGGGACCTCGAGAGTCATCGAGTCCAGTCCCCTGCCCTCATGGCAGGACTCAGTACAGTCTAGACCATCCCTGACAGAGGTCTATCTAGCCCCCCCCCCCCCCCACACCACACCCATTTTCAATTAATTTGTGAAGAGCTTTGATTGGAAAAAATGATTTTAGGGTTGAATTTAAGCCAATGAATAGACTTCCTGACTCCTAAAAACCGCACAGTATGAAAGAGCCATGCCGAACTGTGTTCCTAGGCTGAAGCCCTTATACCAGCCGAAGGGGTGGGGCAGGGGAGAATTGAAGGAAATGGTGAAGTAGCACTGGCTTATTTCAAACTGGATGGAACAGATGCACCAAGGAATATATTGTGGGGAACACTTGTGATCTGGCCAGGCTAGATCGTGTGGCCTAGATTAACGCTTCTCAAAATGGAAGCTACTAGCCCAACACAAATGCTAGCTCTACTCACTACCAGGAAGGCTAGAGGAGCTAGAAGCTATTGTTACGGATATTACAATATCCGTTATTAGCTAAGGAGCAAAAATTGGCTGATTGAGAACCATTGGACAGATGACCTGCTAAAGAGATTAGCATTCCTTATCCCCATGATTCTCCAATAATCTGTCTGCATATTTTTAATATTTCCACAGCATAGAAGAACTTCCATTCATGCTAGGATCAAGGACTATTGAAAGTGTCAAGTAACCTTAATGCTGCCGGGACTTTTCCGAAAAAGAATTCTGCACAGCAATAAAAAGGCAACAACAAAAACATCTGAAAAAAGATGTTTATCACTCTACATAACTAGAATTTAGGTATTAAAGGGAGAAATAGCCAATCACAACATATTACAGAAATCAAAATTAATTTAACCACACAAAATAAGTTAAAACATTAAATATTAACTTTTTCAGTGCAACATGTACAGATGTCAAAGGAGCCATGACTAAAAAAAGCTTCAGGTTGGTTATTTATAATAAACTTAGAGAGACTACAAAAGGTTAACAATTCAACTGGAGGTTAGAATACCAGCTGAAGGAAGTTTCCTAGAATTAAAAGATGGTTTTACTACTTAAAGATATTGGTTTCAGATCGCCACAGTCCCTGCAAGGTGATATTTCTGTCCTAGCGCCATAACATTTCAAGACTGAATAAATGTGATGTTTTAAAAACCAAACCTCACTCTCACAGGATGTTTTATGGTAAAATGTATCCAAAAATCATGGGAAATGCAAGTTACATGTTTCAGGCAATTTATCAGACACTGGGGGAAACAGCAAGTTATGGGTGCAAAAAAAAATTTTCCGAAAAGAAAGATAGCAGGGTGATTTTCAAAAGACACATGGAAATTGGGGACCCAGATGCCACTGATTTTCTGTGGAGACTGGGCACCTATTAGTCCTTTGTGACTTGAAAAATCCCCACCACCCGCTGGCTGCCACATTTATTGATATTGAAATGCATGTTCCAAGGAGATTACTTTTTGCTGAATTAGAGAGACTTTTTTGGGGTGGGCAGGGCTATATTAAGTCTGGATTAATCTCATTGACTTTAACATGGATCCCTCAACGGGACCAGAATTTCATGTTGAGTCAACTCAAGTGTTCATCTTTCCAACAGAGCATTCCATTCCATAAGCTCCTTGTGTGACCATTCTGGATTGCCTTTAGAACCATAGAGCCAAATCCCAGCACCAATAGGGTCAGCTGTAAAAACTCCCAGAGAGATTTCATTGACAGCAAGGATTTAGCCTGTAGCTTTCTGATTTCCTACTGTCACAAACCCACAATGTGTTCAGCTTCCTAGCTCCCTCTCTTCTCCACTGCAACTGTCCCAGTCAAGAAAAAGTGGAGTAATGGACATTTAAAATCTGTTATCCTGGAATAGTTCCAATGAAAGCCTGCAACATGGTACAGGATGGACACGCTCTCTTTAAGTGCAAGGAAAAGCCATTGTGGGGAAAGAAAAGGGGAATTCTAACCTTCATTTTCAACCAAATACCTGTCACACAAGCTTTTATTCCTACTCTGTCCTTTCCAATCCCTCTTCAACTAGGCAGTTTGTTTTAAAAGGACATTCTGTATTATTGAAACATGATCCTACTTTGAGTCAGATCTCTAGGTATCTTCCTAAAAGCAGCAGCAATTTTAAAAATCAGATCCTGGAAGGTCAAATAATTGCAAGGAACAGATCACAGATTGGATTAGGAGATAGAGGGGCCAGATATATATTCCAGTTTTTCGTCAGTAGGGTGGCACTGGAAAAAAAAATTGTGAGGATTTAGTGCCTGAAAACCTGGGCTGGATCATCCAGTGGTGTAATTTATCCTCACTGCATTTTAGTGAGCGGAAGTAGAGTAATTCACCCTGCTGATGATCAGTCCCCCTTGTTTTAAAAGGTCAAATTAGCAGATACATGGACATTCTCACCTGTTGGTCAACTCAGGAGGTCTAAGTGAACTTCTTGCCTAGCAGTACATTTCTAGGGGATACCGCGGGACAGAGCCACCCCTAGCTGAGACTTGCCTAGCTGCATACACATCTGCTAGCGTCAGCTGGACATGCAAACTATCTGAGCTGGGACATTCAAGCAGCAGTCAGGGTTAAAACCATATCACCATTAGGGATGGGTGAAGAGAGACAGAACGTCATCCACAAGACAAGCTGTGCCAGGCTTTTGAATGAATTCCTATGCCAGTGCTAATGGCATTCATCTTCCTGAGGAGGAACATCAGCGGAAGGTCTGAGGACAAGGTGGGGTAATAAGAGAACTATCAGCCAGACCTTTAGCTGTAGGAAACATTGCTCCACTCCCATGCTGCAGGCATGGTCTGGCTGCAGTGTCATCCTATGAAAGGAAAAAGGCTTGTGAAACAGATGCATAACTGATGGGCATGTGCATCATGGTCTAAAGAGACCTAAATAGTTTAGACTACAAGAAATCAAATATTTAGTTTTATTCCCAATTTAAAAAAAAAAAAAAAAAAAAAAAAAAAAAGCAAAAGAGCGAGAGAAAGAGCCTTATCTTTTAAGGTGCTGAGAGCCGGTACTCAGTGCCTTGTGGGATCAGGCCCTAAATGTACGGCTTCCACAAGACATCTTAAACACAATTAAAAAAAAAAAAAAAAGCAGGCGAGATGCTAAAAACAGTCCCTGTTCCTCATGGCTGGAGCATTCTGCACATTGGCAGGTGAAAAAGGGCACTGTCCATCAGGCTAGACGTTTCTTGGGAGACCCGTCAGAGGTTAAGGTCTGCACTCCAAAGAGCAGGACTAAGATATTGATACACCCCTTGTAAGCATGGCCATGGGGCAAACCAGTAACAGCGCTTCAATGCTAAGGGCTGAATTTGCCACTGAAAAGGTCCAAGCTTTGCTGAGATCAGTAGAATTTTCAGTCACTTATGTCAGCAGTGAATTAGGCCTCAGGTTTGCTCAAGTGCTTCAAAACCAAGAACAGACCAATAGGGTTCTTCCCTACAAGAGAGATCTGAAGGCTCTCACGGAGAAGAGTTACTGTCCTGTAGCAGCTCACTGACCCGGCATGTCTATTCAGATATTTCTCCTCCAGTCATTCTGGGCCAAAAGAGGAGAGGTTGCTCTAATGGTTTCAGAAGATTAGAGAAATAGGGGTAAATTCAGCAATTACTCCCTGATTCAGGGAAGTGCTTAAGCAGGTGCTTCAGCTGTACTCAGAGGCTGAAAACTTTGCTGACTTGGGCTGCTCGACAGAATCGGGACACTAGATGCACTGGTTTTGCCCTCTTTGTTGGGCTCCCAGAATCACTGATGGGAGTCTCACAGCTTGCTCAGAAACTGACCAGATCACACTTGCCCATTACCACACCCTCAAGATGCAGCGTTTGCAGCTTCATTGTTAAGAACCCAAATCCAAATCTGAAACACAGATGTCACTATTTTAAAATTAATTTTTTTTCAGATCAGCTTTAAAAATAGATCACAGAATTCAATTGAGTTGGGGAAAAAAAATCCTGGAAGGAGACAGAGGAAAGGATTCTTGTTGGCTTGGGGTTGGGAGGGGTGTGTGGGTGTGACAATCTGCCTCCTTAGGAAATTAAGGGGAGGGGACATAAGGTCTAAAAATCAGATCTATTGTAAGACTGCGCCAGACACCGAGTCAAGGAGCAAAGCGCAACAAAGGGTTAAACAAGCTCATTTCTCAAGTAAGTACGGAGCAAACCATCACTTGTGTATCAATTTCAAAAGGTGCTCTGCTGGCAGGCGTCGGGTGGCTATAGGAAACCAGAAGTTCATCAGATCATTTGCTTTTAGGTAAGAGCTTGAAAATGAACACAGAAGGCAGCTGGTTCCTCATACAGGATAAATGGGATACCGTGTTGTTCCTATTTTCCCTAGGATGGATCTGGTTTCAGGTTGAAAGCCCCCCACACCCCCTTGATATTTTGTTTCTACACAAAAGGGTGAAATTCTGCTCTTAAATCACAACAAAACTCAGGGCCAAATTCAACAGGTGCAAACAGGGGAAACTTCACTGACTCCACTAGCGGGGTAGTCCTCACTTAGGCCCAGGAGAGTGAACTTGGTTCTAGGACTGTATCTTGCCAGGCAGATCAGAATACAAACTTTGGAACAACACTGAGAACATGTCAAGTTTAGTATCCAATAGCATCATGTATGGCGCAGGTTCATCCTCCAAGACAGACAGTCTAGGGGGATAGAATTTTTTACCTACAAGTTAGAATCCACATTCAGGGAATGACGCCATTGATTTAAGAGGGCCTGATTATGATCTCATGCTAGAGCTAAACTAGGAATAACCAAGGGAGTTACAGCAGGGTAAGCAAGATCAACATCAAACCCTATTAGCTCATTCAGTCACATGGACTCCGGCAAGGAAGGGTTTGCAGGATTTGGCCCTAGGTTTTCTGCTGTCGTAACACAGCGACTCTTAAGTTTCCTGAACAGTCCCGAGTGAGCACAAAGAAATGCAGAGCGTCACAGCTCTAAGGCCCACGTCCCAACATTGGAAGGACCTGAACAAGCTTTGGGTCAGGCTCTGAACACCTAGATTTCCACAACTTTGATTGGAGCCAGGTTCCATTTGACATTTAACCCCCATCTCGAGCTCCAAACACACTTTTCTGCCTCAATGGTTTGCCGTGTTTTCTGCCATCACATTTATCATGTGAAGCTGGAACCCATTTTTCTCCTCCCTCGCTGGCTCGAGGGTGGCTGTTTTTCCTTTGCAAGGGGTCTCCCAACAAGGAGGAATTGCTCCTCAGAGGGGAAAAGGACAGCTCCAGCCAGTTCGCCTTGTCCTGTATCCCCTCACAGATTTCATCTGGCAGGTCAATGGCAGCAGCACAAAGGGAAAAAAAAAAAAAAAAAAGCCGCAGTCAGGCAAAGAGGACATTCTTTGAAATGGCTGCGCGCTCTCCGGTCAGAGCCATACAGCCATTCCTCCAGACGAGTCACATATGTAACAAATGCATGAACCAAAAGACCCAGCCTTCAGGAAGGCTCCATAAAGTCTCGACGCAGGACAGACAGTTTTCGTAAGCGCTCTCCAACCCGAACGGCACACCCGCTCTCCCATCACTGGTGTCAAACCTACACCCCCACACACAATTGTCACATCTACGGAAACACCAAGCTGAGCCATGTGCAGGTCTCGTGTCTGAGTCTGAAGTCTTGTAAAACATTCCACGGTTGCTGAGATGTGGTTGACGAATTACTCCTTCACGTCATATTGCGTAGCCCCCTGCAGATGTCAATTTGGCAAGGTTCTGAAAACCCAGCATAGAGTAGAGGAGCAGAGAGAGAGTCAAAGTCACGTAGTGTCTGCTTGATAGCAATCGCCGGCAGAGCATTTTCTTCTGTGAATGAATGTGGGCCTTCTTCATTACACTGCAGCAGTCCCATCTGGCCATGGTAGTTAATATCCTGGTCCAAACCAGGTCTCCTTCAGACCACTGCAGAATGAAACACACCAAGGGTTAATCTACTTCCAGGGGCGCAAACCTGGCTCTAATCTAGCAACAGAAAGCAAGTGAGTCCCAGAAAAATGGCCAGAAGGGATCAGATGAATGGTCTGTCCAGCCTAGCGTTTAAAAAGACTTGGACATTTCTGCTTAGAAGAGAGGAGACTAAGGGGGGGACAGGATCGAAGTCTATAACATCATGACTGGTGTGGAAAAAGTGAATAACGAAAAGTGATTTACTTATTCCTACAATATAAGAACGAGGGTCACCAAATGAAATTAATAGGTAGCAGGTTTAAAACAAACAAAAGTTTTTATTCACTCACTGCATAGTCAACCTGTGGAACTCCCTGCCAGAGGATGTGGTGAAGGCCAGGACTTTAACAGGGTTCAAAAAAGAGCTAGAGAGATTCATGGAGGTTAGGTCCATCAATGGCTACTAGCCAGGATGGGTAGGAATGGAGTCCTTAGCCTCTGTTTGTCTGGTGGTGAGTGCCAGGAGAGGGATCACGTAAGGATTACCTGTTGTGTTCCCTCCCTCAGGGGCACCTGGCATTGGCTACTGTTGGCCGACAGGTTCCTGGGCTAGATGGACCGTTGTTCTGACCCAGTCTGGCCAGTCTCGTGTTCCATTTCTGACAGTGTCAAATGTGTCAAAGGGAACGACCAGAACAGGGCAATTCTTGAGGAATCTATCCCGGGCCCCCAATCTGTGCAGCAGGGGTGATGAGAGCCATTGTACCAAGCTGTGAATTGGTCTATAATGGGAAGCATTTCCAGCCAGGGTGCAGCAGAACCCCCAGCACCCTTAGTTTCAGCCCCTAGGGATACCCTGGGAATGGGGCTGCATCCCTGGCCATCTTGGCTAATGGGTATTGATCCTTCATGGTCCGGCTCATTGGGAAGGATAACTACAACATCAACCCAGAGAAGCGAAGTAACTCATAAGCTGGGCACCCCAAGTCTTGCATCTAAAAACCCACCTGATTTTCTGAAAGTCAGGCCACTTAATTTGGGCAGCCAAAAACCCCTCCTACCCTCACTGTTCCACTTCTCTCTTACTCATAAAAGTTCATGTGTGATTGATGTGGCGGTGTCAATGCCTGATGTCTGGCTAAGGTATTTCCAATGAAGAGTTGGTGCCAAGTGCCTGCTCCTTTACTCTGTGACCAGTACAAACATCGTCCCTGCAGTCTGTAGCACCTGAGACACACAAAGGGCTCAGGAGACCAGTCTGCAAACCCAAGACAAATAAAGGCACCTTCGCTGCCATTATCAAAACCGAAGTGATTATCTCAAAGCAAAACGCTAACGATAAGAGGAGTACACCGTTTCTAGAGATCATTCCTTGCACTCGCGAAGGGGACTGAATAACTCAGGCTGACTAAGATAAATAATTAGAGCGGAGACAAAATTAAAGAAAAACAGGAAGAGAGCCAGAGTATCTCATGCCTCTGCCTAGACGGTATGTCATATGTCACCTGGAATTTATTGCAGTGTGTTGTGCATAAAAAACCCTTCCACTGACAAAGAATACCTTGTACTGAATTGCCAAAAGCACAGAAGCGGTATTTTCAGAGATGCTAAAAAAGGCTAAGTGATTTATTCCAGTCTCACTGGAAATCTCTCGCAGTCAATGCACATTTAGTCCCACAAATGGGACTTGTGTATCTGCAGATACAGTAACCCTAATGAGGCACGTCCAATGGCTTGTAAATCTATCGGTAAGGGTGTAAAAGTCACTCAGCAAAGCATCTTCTGAATGCTATAAAATTCAGGCCGGCCGTAAAGAGGGAGAGACTCTGAAAATCTCCCCCTAAAGATGTCACTTCCAAAGGTTGGTTAGCTACCACTGCACATTTGAAAAATCTTCCCTCGCTTAAATAAGAGTGACTACAGGTTGAACCTCTCTAGTTTGGAACCCTCGGGACCAGACTGGTTCTGAATGAGAGAACTTTCTGGACCATGGGAGGTCAATATTGTCTAGCAGTATTACCAACACTTTCACTGCTTATGGGACTCGTAGGGGTAAATTAGAGCTAAATTTACCCCTAAGAGCCCCCTGTGTTCTGTGTTACAGAACACGGAGCTAGGACTGGCGGCTGTAAACAAACGTTATGGGACCGTGGGAATCTTGGCCACACCCATGAAAAGTGGACATCGGCTAAGTAAAATCGTTCCGGACGACGGATGTTTCTGGACAAGAGCGTTCTGGATCAGAGAGGTTCAGCCTGTACTTTATTAGATCACAATAAGGAATTTGAAGTTACTTCTCGCTCTTTACTTATTTGCATTTCTCAGCATGGGGTCTAAGCCAGCAGTGCTTATTCACATGAGCAGACCCACTGTGGGCAGCTGAGGACTCCTCTGACTCGGTGCAGGGGAGTGTGTGCGTGGGCGTGGGCAGGGGAGGCTTGTGGCACTGCCCAGGATGAGGGGCATAGGTGCTAGACCTGGTTGAAGTGGCTTCCATTATATCCAGGTTTCCAGTTTGGTTCAATAGCTCGCAGAACCCCACTGAACAAGTTGTTCCAGCCCCCGAAGGGTGGTGCGGAGAGGGTCTCAGGGCTGCAGCCACAGAGGAAGGAGAGGAACCAGGGGCTGGCATCTGCCTGTGCACTTGTGCCTGTGGCCCACTCAGGTCCATTTCACAGGCCACTGTTCCCTTTGCTCACCCCCATCAGCAAGCCCGGAAGTAACCAAGCCAGTCCCGAAACACAGAAGGCCAAATCCAGAAAGCGCAGCGCAATGCGAACACCCAGAGGGGTGGCATGCACAAGTGGACGGGATGGAAGAAAGGTCGCCGAAGGAATCCCAACACAGGCTGATCTACACGGACAGGAGTCTGCTACAGCGCTAGCCGGGCAGCCTGGACTCTTCAACTGGAGGCGCGAGCTGCAACAGCGCTTGAGTTACAGAGGACCCTGGTGAGTTGACCAAGACGGCAGCCCTCACACGGGGCTCCTTGGGCCTGCCGCTGAAGGATCTGATAAGGGCTTCAAGCGCCACACCCCAGCCTGGACACACACAGGCAGGGCCGTCTCTGAATGGCAGCAGGAAGCTCCCCCCTTCAGGAGCCCGCTAGGCTTCTCGTGTCTGCAGATGAAGGCTCGGCACCACTCACAGTGTTTTCTTATCCTACAGCAGCTGGAAGACAATCGAAGGGCAGGGCATTAGGGCAGGGACACGGCCCAGAGCCTGTGCACAGCCAAGGGGGAAATCAGCAACCACGAGGCCTTTCATCTGAATGGCAGCAGGAAGCTCCCCCCTTCAGGAGCCCGCTAGGCTTCTCGTGTCTGCAGATGAAGGCTCGGCACCACTCACAGTGTTTTCTTATCCTACAGCAGCTGGAAGACAATCGAAGGGCAGGGCATTAGGGCAGGGACACGGCCCAGAGCCTGTGCACAGCCAAGGGGGAAATCAGCAACCACGAGGCCTTTCATGCTCAAGATCAGGAGTCTCAGCGACATACTGGGCTGAACTGTTCGCAGCGACTCCTCCCACCAGCGGCCGTGGAGCTACACGGAACATGGTGCACCGCCTCCGTTTGCGGGGTCACACGGAACCGGCACGGCAGATGCCTGCTTGGCACAGCTCCCATGGGAAGCATCCAGGAAAAGCCACCCCAATTACACCCAGCATTCAACTTGGCTCTGCGCCAGAATGCCCACTGGGGGCAGGAATCACTAGCGCAGCAGCAGCGCTACGACAGCCTTGAGGCAAGGCCACAGGAACGCCTGGTTCACGGCAAAGCAGCAGGGGGATTTAGAGGGGCAAAAATGGGACACTCACCCCTGGCGTAGCTCCATTGATGCACAGGAATGAATTTAGATCTGGTTAGTTGCCCGAAGGCTGGAATTTGAACCAGATACTGAAGACTCAAAACCCTGCTCTCGGGAAGCATGCCCCCGAGACCTTTCAGGAGCAAGTCTAGGCAGGCAGGCTGGTCTAGACAGAGGAAGGACAGCCTGACAATGGAGGCCTGGTCTGTGACTCAGGAGATCAGGGTTCGATTCCCACCTCTGCCACAGACTCATTGTGCGATATTGGGGAAGTCACCTACTCTTGGTCTTCGGTGTCTACTCAGGAAGGCACATGAGCATGTTCTTAAATGCTCACCTGAATCAGGGCCTCTGACTCACTTTCCCCTTTGTCTCAGAGAGGGGAGCGGTGTTAGTCTGTATATGCACAAAGAGCCCTGGGGCACCTTATACACCAAACAGATTTATTTGGGCATAAGCTTTTGAGGGCAAAAGCCACCTTGTCAGATGCATCAGGACTCTGCTGTTTTTCCCCCTTTGTGAAATTGGGAGGATGCGAATGTTTCTCTCCTGCCCTTTATCTAGACCGTAAGAAGTTGACCGGAACTATGCATTTGTACAGCTCCTACCGCCATGTGATCCTCTCTCATTTGGGGCCCATAGGTGCTACTTAAATATAGATAAATAAATCACAGTGGCTCAAACTCTGGTTTAGACCTCAGACAACTGGAGGCAATAAAAGCCCTCAATGAATTTGAAAGAAATTGTACACAGCTGTCAGTAGCCCAGATTGACATGTTGGGGGAAAAAAACCCCAAACAACTATGTATGTTTATAAGCCACGAGAAAAGTGACAAATATGGCAAGACAAACATGCTGGTTTTTATTGTACCAACTGGTTTGTTCATTTAATCCCGTTGTGAATAAAGAGTTCAAGAGCCAACTGAAAGAAGAGTTAGGGCATGCAGAAAGACTATGAAGCAATGTGTCTTGTAACACTTGGGTTGGGAAATCAACCACAGCAACACTTACCTAGGCCTAGTTACAGGGAAGTATTGTTACCTTAGTCAATACTCATGTTGCAACCCGAGTACCTTACCCACCTGCCCTTAGAATGAACACTGGAATATTTTACATCTGCTCCGTGTCATTCAAGTTATCCACAAAAACTGACATTAGCATAAAATCCCATTTCTTGGATCACAGTAGCACCAAGAAAGCTATTGTGGGCCCGGGAGAGGTCTGTGTTCCTCCTGAAAGCATTCCATTCACTAACATCTTAAACAGAAGAGCAAGCTTCCCTCGAAGTAGTGCATGAGAGGTTAGTTGGGGCATCAATTTTGGCTGGAAAAAAACACCAATCGTATTCAGGGGTGCAGCACTGTACAGGGTCAAGTCAGGAGCTAGCAGCTGCCACAAAAGCAGATGTTGCAGTCTACATGCATTGGATCAATTGAGAGAGGAACCTCAATCTAATGGAAACAGCTGTAGGTTGCAATCATCCAGTATACAAGTTACAGAATTTAGATGCCCTTATATCTGTTTAAGAATGTAAACCTGTGAATCTCAACCTTTTACACCTGTGAATTTGGCCCACATTTTGGTATGGAGGTAAGAACCTAACACCAAGTTTTTAAAGTTAGCTTTTCCGTTCATCCATTTAAATAGCCTTAGAAATCAGTAAGTTCTCAGACAGATTTGTTCCTCCCTCCCCCAGTACTGTGCTCAGAACACTTTACCAGGAAACAACTACTATAATTTTAGATTATTCTGCACAGGATATATCCTGGGCCCATGCCTGGCTCCGAAACAAAGAGACCACTTACAGAGAATTCACTTTAGGCTTTA